GAAAGCAGTAATAAATACCTTAAAAAATTAAAAATGGAACTACCATATGATCTAGCAATCCCACTTCTGGGCATTTATTCAAAAGAATTGAAATCAAGACCACAAAGACTTATTAGGGCACCTATGTTCACTGTAGCACCGTTCACAAGAGTGAAGCAACCTCAATGTTCATGGAAAGATCAATGGATTAAAAATTGTAGATATATGCAATAGGATATAATTCAGCATTTAACAAGAAGGAAATTTTGCAGTATGTGACAACATGAATTAACCTTGAAGATGTCATGCTAAGTGAAATAAACCAGTCACAGAAAAACAAATACTACATGATTCCATTTATGTGCCCTATCTAAAACAATCAGACTCAGGCAATCAGAGAGTGGAATGGTGGTTGCCAGGTGTTGTGTGGAGGAGGAAATGAAGAGTGCTAATCAAAGGGTAAAAAGTTTGTGTTACGAAAGATAAACACATTCTAGAGAGCTGCCGAACAATATCGTGCCTGTAGTTAACAATACCACATTGTGCACTTAAACATTTGTTAGGAGGGTGAACCTCATGTTAAATGTTCTTTCCATAATAAAATTAAATTTAAAAAATGTTTACATGGTCTGTACTAAGTGCCTATTCCATTCTAAGGGCTTTACACATATTTAATCATTGAACAACCAGTTTTAGAGACAGAAAGGCAAAGGCACGGGAACATTAAGCAGCTTGCCCAGAGTCACACATCAGGTGGTCTGGCTGCAAAGTGTTTACCTTTAACATAAATTCATGAAGGACCCAGTAGGATCATTTTTTCCAGTGCTACTGTGAGCATCTTTGCTGCAAAATAGCTGAGTCCCAGCACTTGGGCACACAAGGATTGAAACGCAGATATTCAGTGACAAAGCACTTCAGCGCACTTTTTCATCCAAGCCTTAACTTTCCCAAAGACCTTGAACAGTGGTTTTCAAAGTGTCCCTGGACCAGCAAGGTGGTCCCAGGACCAGCAACGTTGACCTCAACTGGGAAATTGCAGTGCTTCTGCTTAGTCACAGTCATGTGACTCTTTGAGATACTTTGGATTGTGGCCTGCCAGGTTCCCCTGTCCATGGGATTTCTAGGCAAGAATACTGGAATAGGTTGCCATTTTTCTCCTCCAGGGGACCTCCCTGACCCAGGGATCAAACCCAAGTCTCTCATGTCTTTGGCATTTCAGGTGGATCCTGTACCTGCTGAGCCACCAGGAAAGCCTGGGAACTTGAAGAAACACAAATTTTGGGGGCCTACCTTAGAACTCAGAAACTCTGGGATGGCACAGCTAGCTGAATTTTAACCAACTCTCCCACAAATTGGTCCTTGAAAGAAAAGCTATGGCAAATCTAGACAGCATATTAAAAAGCAGAGGCATCATTTTGCCAACAAAATCTGTAGAGTCAAAGTGATGGTTTTTCCAGTTGTCATGTACAGATTTGAGAGTTGGACCATAGGAAGGCTAAGCACTGAAGAATTGGTGCTTTCAAATGGTGATGCTGGAGAAGACTCTTGAGAATCCCTTGGACAGCAAGGAGATCAAACTGATCAATCCGAAAGGAAATCAAACTTGAATAATAAATAAAACGAAAGGAAAAAAAGTATCCAGTTCAATGGAAAAAACCCCAACGTCTTTTAAGACTTCTGTGGGACTCAAATGAGAGAGCAAGGGAAAACATTTTGGGAAACTAAAGTGTGCTATGACAGTGGTCCCCAACCTTTTTGGCACCAGGGACTGGTTTCCTGGAAGGCAATTTTTCCACAGACCCAGAGAGGAATGGTTTGGGGATGATTCTCATAAGGAGCCCAAAACTGAGATTCTTCATATCTGTGGTTCGCAGTAGTTTGTGCTTCTATGAGAATCTAATGCTGCTGTTTATCTGACAGGAGATGGAGTTTAGGTGGTAACGTAAGCAATGGGGAGCAGTTGTAAATACAGATGAAGCTTCACTCGCTTGCACACCAGTCATCTCCTGCTACGTGGCCCAGTTCCTAAGAGGCCACAGACCTGCAATGGTCCATGGTCTGGGGGTTGGGGACCCTTGCCCTATGAAATACTCAACTTCAATTTAAATGAGTGTCATCATCAGAATCCAAGAAAAAATGAATTAAGTAAGCCAATGCATTTAATACTAAAATAATGAAAAGCGTTGGTTATGCTAATTGTGAATGTTGACATTTTATGAATCAGTGAACTAAAATGGACTGGAATGGATGAATTTAACTCAGATGACCGTTATATCTACTACTGTGGGCAAGAATCCCTTAGAAGGAATGGATAGCCATTGTAGTAAACAAGAGTTCGAAATGCAGTGCTTGGATGCAGTCTCATAAATGATAGAATGATCTCTGTTTGTTTTAAGGCAAACTGTTCAATATCACAGTAATCCAACCAGTAAGGATGAAGAAGCTGAAGTTGAACGGTTCTATGATGACTTACAAGACTTTCTAGAACTAACACCCAAAAGAGATGTCCTTTTCATTATAGGGGGCTGGAATGCAAAAGTAGGAAGTCAAGAAACACTGGAGTAACAGGCAAATTTGGTCTTGGAGTACAGAATGAAGCAGGGCAAAGGCTAATAGAGTTTTGCCAAGAAAACACACTGGTCATAGCAAACAGCCTCTTCCAACAACACAGGAGAAGACTCTACAGATGTTGACATCTGTAGTTGACATCACCAGATGGTCAACACCGAAATCAGATTGATTATATTCTTTGCAACCAAAGGTGGAGAAGCTCTATACAGTCAGCAAAAACAAGACTGGGAGCTGACTGTGGCTCAGATCATGAACTCCTTATTGCCAAATTCAGACTGAAATTGAAGAAAGTAGGGAAAATCACTAAACCATTCAGGTATGACCTAAATCAAATCCCTTACAATTATACAGTGGAAGTGAGAAATAGACTCAAGGGACTAGATCTGATAGAGTGCCTGATGAACTATGGATGGAGGTTCATGACAGCAAACAGGGATCAAGACCATCCCCAAGAAAAAGAAATGCAAAAAAGCGAAATGGCTGTCTGAAGAGGGCTTACAAATAACTGTGAAAAGAAGAGAAGCAAAAAGGAAAGGAGAAAAGGAAAGATATACCCATTTGAATGCAATGTTCCAAAGA